GAACTCAACTGGACTGTTTCACCATTGTTGTTGGGTTGGGCCTGACAGTTTGCCGCTTGAATCACCCAACCTATTTATTCTTGCCAGAAAGCCCAGCTGGTGGTTCTCCACTTTCAGGAGGTGGCATGGAGGTGTTGCTTTTCTATAGCAGTGTCGGTCCTTTGGAATGGTCTCCCTTTGGAAGTTAGACTTTAGTTGCCAGCTGGAAGGAGTGAAGACAGAGCACTTCCAGAAGACATTTAGGGTCTAACACTTCTCTTTTGATTTGCTCTCTGGATTATATTTTGGATGCTTGCTTTGTCTATCTTTCTGGATTTTATTGGATTCTGAATATTTTAATATGTGTATTATAGTGAAATCACAGAGAATCCAGAAGGGTGCAGCAGGGTACAAATGCAATTAATCAATTCACTTGGGAAATTCCAGGTTACTAATTAATAATGTTTTAATCACATTTCAAATTGAATATTCATACAGGCTTAATCGCTATATATTGAGGTTTCGAATAAGCCAGTTTTAAATTCCTCATTTAGGAATAGAGACATATATTATGTATATATCATGAATTATATATAACATTAGGAAAAGAATGGAGGGCAGTTACATTAGGGCTGTGTAGCTCTTTGGATCTGATATCTAAAAAGCACTCTGGAGCACATGGGAGTGTAACCCCAACACTCTCCTGCAACCTTAAAGCAACTGGAGTTTTCCCAGGATTGTGTGGCTGTCTTCCGCAGCTGCTAAAGCACCTCTTGGAGCTGGAATCCAGGACTCTGGACAGCCCTCACTTATATAAAATAAAAAGAAGGTACAAAATCAATCATTTTAAAGGTAGAGCGAGTTGATTAAAAAGCAAGTTTATGTATTATTACAAAAGAAGAGTGACTATTCTGAAAAATATTGAAGATGGTTCAGAAAAAGCAAATGGTCCAGAAGTAGAGAAATAATTTGCTAAGTTTGCTCTCAACAAGTGTAGATGAGCTGGGAATGGGACAGAAAATGGCTCTGTGTTACTTAGGACACATTTAATGTGGTCAGATAAGGAAAAAGTAGACAGAGATGGAGAAATGAAGACTAGTGAAAAAGATTATGTCCTGCATACCTACTGTTAAATATGTTTTAGCTTGTTCAGTGCCTTATCCTGCCACTGGAATGGCATTAGAGTGGCTGTCACACTTTAAAGGGGCTAAAATCCTTTCTCTCCAACAGGGTAATGCTGGTCCTCCAGGGAAACCTGGCTTGATGGGAAATTCGGGTAAACCTGTAAGATCATTTCTATCTCAAGTTTTTACTTTTTTTATATAACCAGAAGACTTCCATTTTGTGAAATATCAATCTTTAAATATGCATTGTTCTTGCAATCACTTCAACAGGGAGAACAAGGACCCCAAGGAGAACCAGGACCAGTTGGCCCCAAAGGCCCATTAGTAAGTTCACTTGCTCTGCTTTCGGTTTACATTTAGGTTCTGGATTTTCTGATACAGGCTGTTGATAGAAAAAAAACAACACACCACCATCTGATCAAAAGTAATTTATGAACTGGGAGAATTGTAGAAGTGGTGGATTTATGTCCACTCCCTATCCTGCTTAAGATGGTACTAAATGCTTTCATTTCCCTTCATTTTCTCTGCCTTGCTCTGTCTTTCTCATCCTCACTCCCATCAAAGCAGTAAAATATATTTTAAAAATATATTGCATTCAAACTAAGGCACTACAGCAAGAATAAAAGTGAATGAAATATCTGTAAAACTCCAATAAAACTAAAGCAATTGCTGAATTAAAACCCCTGGATGGAAATAAATTTCACTGCCTGGCACTTTATGGAATTAGGGGTGATATTCCACAACTGAGGCATCACTATAGAAAAAGTCCATTCTCCAGTCCTTATTTGTTAGATCTCAGGAGCCCTTAGGGAAAAGCCACAATTGCTGTGTCTCAAACTCATTCTGTTTTTCTGGTCATTTGCCATGGGGGCCAATGCCCCATCCTTTTCCAGTCCTTGTATGCAAAACTTATATTAATGAAACACTTTTTCAGGATGTAATGTTGAGTTTTGATGAATGTTCAGGCTTCTCACAAGTCTTAAGTATGTGCTCCCCCAAAGGCTGAAATTCTTCTAGTCTGAAAGAAGAAGGGCATAGAGGACAATGTAGCTTCCAACCATTGTGTCTGAATGTATCTTGGCATATATCTAGCTTAACTCCCATTGATTTTAAGAGTTTCTATTCTATTCTAAATATAACTAAGCTTTAACTGAATTCACAAAGAACAAGGCCTTGGGTCCAGTAGATACAGTAAAAGCCACCCAGAGTCAGATATAATTGGGAGGCATATCAGCCTGGTCAAATAATAAAATAAAAGCCCATATGCTTCATGGGCTGGTCCATGCAAAAGTGTTTTGTTTTCTTTTTAAAGAAGTAGCTGTCTTCCTTTATTTGCTTTTTTTCTCTCTTAAACTGTTGTTAATGCCACACTATTTCTTCTCCAGTGCATTGACTGTTTGAGTAGGACTCGCTACAGTAGTTATAATTATTTTTCTCCAGATTCCATTCTCTGCTCTGACATCTGCACTGATATTTTTGGACAATTCTATGCTTAATTAAAAAGGATATAACTGAGTAACTGAATAATGCAGGTTAATCTTCCAAACTATGTTTTTAAGCCAGTGAAATGTAAGTAAAGGTTTATAAAATCAGCAGGTGATGATCATAGAAAACAGAACTAGTGTGTTATGTTAATCATTACAAATTCCACTGCAAATGTCGGAATTGCATTTAGTCTAAATTGTGCGGTATTTGTCTCCCCAGTCTGCTGAACTAGTGACCAAAAAGGGATATAATAATTATGTTGTATAAGCTGAAAGAAGTTCAAACCTTTTATTTCAACCTATTTAATAAAAAGGTTGCTGTTTTATTTAAACATATGGTGAAAGGTGGAGTTCTTGCACTGACCTTCATTCCAGGGGTGGAGGTGGGTGGAGGTGAATGACTCATCTTTCATTATACAATCATGTCTTCTGCAGTCTCCCTGGTTTTCCATCTTTCCACTAAATCCCAACAGAAAAACTTGTGAAGGAGCTCCTCCCATTTGGTTTTGTTTTAGATCAAGAGAAAGGATGGATCTAGGGAAAAAACAGCTGAAAGTAGCACCCTCTGCCACTTTGCAACATAAAATAAGTTAAAAACACCACACAAATAAATTTTGAAATCTTAAGTAGCTTGAGAACAACAGAAAACTCATTTGTGGGAGGAGAAAATTCTCAAGAAATTGAAAAATGTTTGCATGGTATTAAATTCTAATTTATAGGTCCTCTATGCATACTTTGGAATATGTATTTCAATGGAGCCTTCTTCCAAGTTTGTAAGATGATATGGGATTGCAACTTTGAGACCGACTCTAGTACAAGTTTGTTCAAAACTAAGTCTCACACGTTTCATCCAGCTCTTCAGAGAGGGAACATCCCTAATCTACAGCCATTTCTTCAAAGAAACTAGTGAATCTGATAGTACAATATATTTATTTATTCTCAAAATACTGTAGCATATTATCTCTTATTTCAATTCAGCTTCATTAGCAGAAGGCCAAGGCCACCCAGTCACAAATTGTGAGAGGAGTATCATGTAAATTTTTAAATAAATAAACAGATGATTGGCTGGGGAAAGTGTGTTTGTATAGGGCAATACAATAGGGATACAACTCAGGTGCTGCAGTTCATAAACAAATAGTGTGATTGTTATCCAGTGGCATTAAATCCAATGTCAACTGGATGTACTAGAAGGCAGACACGATGTAGAAGTGGCAAAGCTAAGTGTAGTCCTATGCAGAAGGGTTTCAGTGAGACGTTAAATGCGCCACTCTTCTGCCTCACTAACATCATTTTGTAGAAGGTCCAGAAAAGGTTACCTTTAATACATAACATTTCCATTCTCTCCAAACTTATAAAAGTTATTGAGGAGGAAAAGAACAGACAGTCACATAACATCTTTTGATAGATGGCAAGGATTATTAATCATGAAAGCACCCAATTAAATAAGTGCACCCACTCTTCATTGTAATTGGTATGCAGTTAAAATCATAAACTTGAGTTTATTTTTAACATATCTGTACAAGATTTGAGGTTAGGTGTATTCCACTTAGTATGCGCAAATATGGATTAAACAAGAAATCATCAGATACCAGTACAATTTCTTCTCAATTTCATTCTCATGCCCCTAGGCTACCAAGAATTAAGGGCAGAGAAAAAAAGCAGTCACATCCTATATGGAATAATAATAGAGAAGATATGTGCTGCATCTCATGTGGAATTCCATACATGGTATGGAAACACTTTTCAAACAAGGCTTAGCTTGGAAATTTACTAGAAAATAAATGGACACAAATACTCCCTTGTTTGCATATTGACTTTACTACCTTCAAAGCAAATAGGTAAGTTATTTACCTATAATGTATTGTCGAAGGCTTTCACGGCCGGCATACGATGGCTGGTGTGGGTCTTCCGGG